CTGATAGTTGGAGAGTACGTTGCATCGGAGTACTGCATCACTGCCGCAGTTCTGTCTTTTACAGCTCATCATTTATAATCATCATTTTATTTAAAATATTAAAAGTTTTTGTGTTAGAAAAACAGTGTTCATTCAGCATAACTTGCATTTATGGTTTGTATGCTCAAAAACTTGTTCGTTTTAACGAATATGAGGAAAATGGAGTTATGCATCAGATATGTATACATTTTTTACACTTGTTAGTAAACAGAATATGATGTAAGAATATGAATGCTATCAAATAGTAACCATCAGTTTATATGAGTGATCAAGAAGGCAACGGTGCAATTATGAAGTGAATAGAAAGGTACAAACTTATAAGAACAAAAATTATCGCATCACTTGATAACAATAAGTGAATAGAACATTTTAATTAACAATTGGAAATTTCTTTCTGTTATCATAAACAGATAGTAACATCTTCTGCCACTGGTCATGCGATTTGGTAATTTTAGAAAAATATTTACTACACAGAGCAACAGCTCTCTCTGCAGTATCATTAGTTACTTGAAGATTTTTGCACAGCTCTTTACCCCTCAAGAATGAATCTTCTTGTGACCATTCACTTGGATCAACATTGATAAATTCACTGGAAATGCCGGTAATTTTGAAGAAGTTCATACTTTTTTCTGAAACGAAGGTTGATAAAGATAGCTCATTTATACTTTTTATATCTATTTGGGCTTTGAGCTCTCTTTTTTCTGAATCCTTCACCGATAATCTACGAACAATTTCTTTTTTTTCTTGTAGGTCGATGGTTTCATTAAAAAGAACCAAACAAATGAGCTCCTTCGACAAGTACCACAAGTGATGACTGAATTTTTCAAGTACTGCCGCACACAATTTTGGGTCTTGATTTCTATAATTGTCCAAATCTTTGAGTAATTTTAAATCAGTGATTGCAGCTTCCAAAGGTAGTCTGGTTTGAAACCAGTATGGTACATAGAAGAAAACTATGAAATTTGCCATTCTGCAAAGATTGTCAATATCTTTCCGTGGTAGATCGAGTTGCTTGCGGAATAAGTACATCTTCAATGTGTATATGGCCTTCGCCATCCACCTCGCTTTGTGGATTGGCCCAGGCTTTTTAAAACTTCCACACTTTTCCCCAAGAAATGTTTTGGACAGCTGCAGCAACTCTTTATAATCATCTCTGGGCAATGTACCTTTTTTCAAGCATAGATTAATGAAGCGAGATGTTTGTGATTTTTTGGTCTTCATCAACCATTGCAGTGATTTATGCTTGTCGTCTTCAGCAGAATTAAATTTTTTTCTGTCCATCTTACTCCAATTAATCTTGAAATTTTTAAACATCTCTATTTCAGGACTTGTAGAAAAAGATGGACAGCATTCATCAAATACTGCACCAAGCAACAGTTCTGCTACATGATGTCTGCAGCTACAATACAAGAGGTTTTTTCGCATCTTGGTTTCCAACAATTTGCATGCTCCAGCCTTTCGTCCAGTATTCGTTGAAGTGGTATCATAACACATTGAAACCACATTTACGTTCCACTTTTTCAATGTGTCAAATACTACATCACTGATAGCTGCGCTGGTACCATGTTCGAGCAATCCACAATGCAGAAGTTGTTCATTTGAACCTGAGGACACAACAACTGGTAATAATTCGACTTTCATACTTTCATTGTTTTTAACTGTCTTTCCATCCCAATGTACAGTTAAAGGGGTAAATGGTAAGTCGACTTCACATTTCTTTCTTGCCAAAATTCTGTGTCTTCTAACATATGATCTCTTTCCAGCTATCGATATTGAGGCCTGTCCCCCATCCACAGCTATAGCATTCAATATAAGTGCAGCTTGACGATCAGTTACCTTGCAGCGATCAAGGGTCGATGCCAACGTAACACCAAGGGGCTTATTTTTCTTCTTTTTCAATGCTCTTGGAGTTTTAAAAAGAGATGCATCTGCCACAGTCGATGATTGTGAAGTTTCAAATTCAGTCAACGAAGATTGACTGTCTTCCAATACTTTCACAGCTTTCAAGCAAAAAAGAAATGAATAATCTTTTTATTTGACTCAAAATATTAGAATATAAATGGGGCAAAATTCATTTATTTATGAATATCATAATGATATTTCAATAAAAAACTGTAAAGGTTTTTCATGATCAAAATCCTCATTTTTCCATTTGTTGGAATGAGAAATAAATTTGAGACACAAGTGGTATTGAAGTTATTGCTCTGCTAGCTCTCATCTGCTCTCACAACTTATTTTGAATTGAGAAATTTTGCCCCGTGTATAAAAAATAAGTAGATATGTACCTTGATGAGAAGGCTTGATAGGGGAAATTTCAAAAATTTCTTCCAATTTTTTCTTAAAATTTTTTTCCTTGTCTCTAATAGTCTTCGTTCTCTTCGCTTGTGGTAAGCTTTGGTATTTTTGAATAGCTTTCCACATTTTAAACAGCTTCGTAATTCGCACCAACATATTTTTTATATTGAATTGAAAACTCGAATTCGCTTCGATGATTTGATTTGCTGTTGCTTCAGAACTTTTGTAAACTGTCATTTTCTTGGTACTGTGGTAGTAGAAAAACACGGATAATACATCATTTTTTGTGATGTTTTCATTGGGGAGTACGGATTTTATTTTGCCGACTAAAAATACCCTTCCACTTTCGCACATTTTTCAATGACAAATACAATTTTTTGAGTTAGATCAACGTACGTGATAATTAACCAAAAAATATTGTATATTCAGTAATTAACAACAATGAAATTAGTTACGATAACTTGTATAATATACAATGTATATTAAACAATCAAAGAGTATGCGCGAATCGGTGCGCGATCATGGCACATCATGCTTCAGTGCTCGCTGATTTTTCGACTTTTCAGGAGGGGAAAAAATGGAAAACACGATTTTCACATGCGCTGGTAAATTTAAATATTATTGATATATATATGAGTGGATTCTCCATAAAAAAACCTAACAAAATTCATGAGTTTTATATGTCTACAATTTTTTCTGTTCATTTCCTGAGCGCTCAAAAGTGTGATTACTCGAAAATTTCGATTTTTCAGCTTGAAAAATCCCATTTTCAGTCTGAACTTTCAATTCTATCAGAAATCTGCGCATGGCATTCGATTCTGCGTTAAAAAATACACAAAAAATCATTGTCTAATATTTAAATAAAAGTTTTTTTTACCGCAGGAAATTCATCGTTTATCCTCTGATTTAGGTGAATTTTCAAACCACGTTTTTAAACTTCAAAAATCAGTTGACACCGGTTCCCATCACTTATGGGAATTCTGCGGGCGGCTTTCTTCATGTAGAGAGTTGAATTTTGAGAATTCAGTGCAACCATGGGGGATTTCAAAAATTTTTGCAAATCGAACCACCCTAATGGTGCCTCTTATACTTGTTTAATACAATTTTCCCCTTGATGGTGGCTGCCAGTACATAGTAAAGGTGGTTCTCTATAAATGGAGTGTTCACTGCAAATCACAATTAATTTTAATAAATATTAGGTGAATGAAAAATTGTATCTCCTATGTAACTCTGGTATTTTTGTGTTGTATAATTAAAATGTATTTGATATGAATTTAGTGATTGAAAAAAGTTTTAACCTTGAGCGACTGGGACTACAGCTTGTAAATTATTATTTGTAGTATTTAAGGAAGTTAAATTCTGGGATAAAGGTATGTTGTGTTGATTGTTAATTGAGTCAGATGAGCTTAACGTAGAACTGTCAGAGCTCCTAGTTAAACCTAAGGTCAAATCAATATTCTCCATAATGTCATCATCACTATTCTGTCCATTGCAATCCATTTTAAAAATATACCTGTTAAGAAGTCAAAAACTAAGATTGAAGTAATCTTTTATTCTAAATAATCTACTTTACAACACAAACTAACTAAAAAGTATGCTACAAAGATTTAGCTAATAATAACACTTAAGAGGCATAGCAGTGTTCTCTATACACAACAATAACATAGATCTACGTTACAATGCGAATTGATGAATAGTTGGGATTAGTTGACATGATTAAAGGGCTTGTGTTTTTAGTGATTAAGTATTAATAATAAGCTTACCTATTTTTTTTGAAACAAACACGTTGTTGTAGTAGTGCAAATATTTAATGCAATGACGTATAAAATTCGCTGCTCACTAGCTGACAGAACTACTGTACTCGCTGAGCACTGTTTACAAGAGCTGTACGCTCTTGCGGTGGGTTAGACACACGCTTGTACAAGTTCTCTGGGCGCTCGTTCAACAGCGCGGTTCTCTTACGCGGCAGGCAGCAGCAACTAAGCGCTTAAGAGAGCGGCAGCTCAGAGCGGGCGTGCGGCATTCTTAAAGGTCTATCAGTGTAGAGGAAAAAGTCGCGCTACCTGAGCCTCACGACTCGTGGGTCATCGATTCTCCCCTGCAAGCTCAATGCCGTTTGAACGAGAAGAGCACGTGCACAGCGAATATCAACGAGTCTGTTATTTTCTGTTGGCGTATCCTCCCCCGACGTAAGCCCTCCTCGCGAGAGTCGAGGAAAAGTCGACCAATCTCTCTGAGGTCATTATTTTTCATCGTCTCGTGCCATCGATACCAGGAGTACATCGACGACTTCTTCGCGTTTCAACGCGTTTATTGGAACTTGAACCCACACGAACAGCCAAGCAGAAACATCGCCTCCGTACCGACCCGCATCTCCATCGTCTACGCGAAAAAAATGAAAAAAAGCTTCTAAAATTTTCAACTCGAAAACGAAGGACTTAAACAATTGTAAAGTACAAAAAGTTTTCAGAATTGATAAAAACCATTAGAAATCAATTAATAACGCTCATAGAACAGTTAATCCTTCTCTCTACAAGATTGGTCAATAATAAATTTTTGTATTTAAATCCTTTTTATTTAAGATAGTATCAATTTCAATTATGTTTTAGGTTAAACATGATAGATCAGTACTGTAACTCAACTATAAACTTGATAAAAAGTTTTACCTTGCCAAAATAAACAGAAGAACAGATACTCCAAGGTATGCTGTGGCCATATAAATCCAGACATCCAAACTCAAAGGACTTAAGAATGAAAATAAATTAGGAGGTTGCTTCACAGGTTTTCTGTAGAGAATGCTAATCCCTGAAAATCGCTATACTTAAAATGGTATTTCCAAAATAATTTGATTTTGATATCATAAATATAACGCCAAAAAATTTCAGGTTATGTATTTTGATGAAAAAAACAAGAAAAAATTTTTTCCAGATTTTTCGAGGCTCCGTATCGTCCTAAAAAAATTATTTTCGTCAAAAAAAGCGGTTTTTTGCTTCAAAAAGTGCGTTAGGTCATCTGAAAAAATCTGGAAAAAATTTAGGTTATGTTTTTCAGTGCAATAAAAAACTGAAAAAATTTCCGTTTACTATACCGGCTCATACCGCCGTATTTCGATTTTCAGAATTTTCAATAATTTTTTCTGAAGGCCTGAAGAACTTAAAAAATCTGAAAAAATTCAAAGTGGTTTGGATTGTTGAAAAGTATTTTTGTGAATTTTTTCAGATTTTTTAATTGCTTCATGTCCTCAGAAAAAATATAGATCGAAAATGGACGTTTATACCGGAAGTGGGGGTAGGAGGGGGGAGGGGGTCTAAAAATTTTTTTTTGGGACCTTTTTACCGTGTACTATAACATACTAAAAGCGAGTCAAGATCGGTGACATACGTGCGCACGTTTTTGTAAAAAAGCATTATTTTGACCCTTATATAATAACATTATTTTTTTTTGCATTAATTATAATGAATGTAGTACATTGGTATACGGGAAAGAGATTAATAAAAAAGGATCCTGAAGTTTCCCTTTTGGTGTTCATTCATACACAATAGATTCTAAAAAATCTTACCACCAGAAGTGAGACTTCAGAGTCCTTTTCTTTAGTTGAATTTTTATTTTGGAATTTTATTCATCTTATCCTAAAACCAGGATTATCTCCAGTTATTAAATTTGTTCATCGTGTTCACGATTTGCCGTTTTTTCAATATACAAGAACAATGATCTAGTGTTCGCTAGTCAATCGGTTTAGGCAATTAACAAGACATCTTTTGTGTGTCATTCGACAAGAAATTTGTCGATCGTCAATATTATTTTGGCAACGTTTCATCTAGTATATCTCTAGACCTCTTCAGGCTATAACAAACAAAATTATACATAAACATACAACACTCTAACAATCACTTTCATTGTCGCGAGTACATACCCTGCTGCGAGTCGATGTGAAACTAAGACTAATTTAACAATATTAGGACTTATATTTAAATTGAACACACACAAACATATTTACAAAAATGAGCCACGGTATGCAACGCTCAAACCTCGTGTATCTTCTCTTTTGTTAATAGCAGAAACATTATTTTTGATGTAAAACATTTCTGCGATGAGCCTCTTGTACCAGTTATTTTCAGTATGCAAAATGCTGACGTTCTTGAAATCAAACTCATGTTCATGATCCAATGAGTGCAGTCTCATCACAAATTTTGGATCTTTGTTATTTTTATGCTCACTGATACGTTTCTTCAGTGCCCTCTTGGTTTCACCTACATATGTTGCATTACATGACTTGCAATAAAATTTATATACAGAATTGACACGGTCCAACTTTTTCGTTTTATCTTTTCCTAATACAATTATGACGTTGAGCTTATTATTTATCGATGGAATGATATTGATGCGGTATTTCTTTAGTAAAAGCGACGTCGACTCGACGAAGCGTTGATTGTATGGTGAAGTCAGACACAAGCGACTCTTGTCACGAGAATCTGAATTGTTCACAGATCGCAAATTATTTTTACAATGCATACTTATTCTTCTTTTTTACACAAAATTATCGATAAAGTGATCGGGATATGAATTCTTGTGTAAGATGTCACGAAACCACCTGTAAATTACTTGCATGAAACCTAGTGACAATACGTGATCCAATCCTAATGAATTGTACGTCTAAGAAGTTCAGATGATTTTCCGTTTCAACTTCATGGGTGAACTTGATATGTGAATTTTGTTCATTAAAGATCTTAAGAATGGTATTAACATGATCGATGTGTACACATGCGAAACCATCGTCGACATATCTATAAGAAAACAAAGGAACGTCAATTAGTCAAATTCATCTTTCAATCTTCTCCAGTAGTCAGACTCCAAATCTGCAAGAACCAAAAAAGTGATGTCTTGTTAATTGCCTAAACCGATTGACTAGCGAACGCTAGAGCATTTTTCTTGTTATCTCGAGTTATTTGGAGTTTCGTTAATCAATTTTAGAATTTCGTATACAAATATTCCCTAAATAGTCGGACCCTTCATGTATTGATGTTTTCAATTAATAAAAAATTTCGTAGAAGATTCATTTATGATGGCGGTCCATAGACAGCTAACTCAATATTTTAGATTTATTTTCAAATTTTGTTAATTTAAATATTATCTCCATTGAATTTTAAAAAATAATTAATTTAATTTTTCATAAATCCTTTTCGGTTAGTTACAAGATGCTGTATTTAGTTCCAAGCCCGCTAGTGTGGCCTCGACTTATCTTACCTCATTGATGAATTTGATTTGATAAAATATTACTGAATCAAATTTACATACATACTTTTCGGCAGTGAGTTTCGAGGCCGCTGGTGCGCGACAGAACAGCAGCTTTTGTGTGATCAGCAGGAGCAGCTTTTGCGCGACCAGCAAGAGCAGCTTTCGCGCGACCAACAAGAGCAGTTTCTTCGCGAGCAGCAGCAGCAACTACCAAGGAAGAACCCTGGAGCTAATTGGCGGTTAGCCTGGAGTAAATTGCCCGCCTTTTGGCGTGGCAACCCAGAGCTGTACTTTTATCAAGTTGAATCATTGTTCAACATTCACCACGTGTCTAACGATGCCACGAAATATATGGTCGTCACAATGCTTGACCCGGAGTCAATCACAGTGGTCTCGGATGCGAACCACCCCGGGAGGACAAGTATAACACGCTCAAGCAGACCCACCCGATGTCCAGCTGCACTAATTGCTCACCGGTGTCGAGCTCGGCGATTAACGTCCGTCGCAGTTGCTACTACAGGTAAAAAGCAAATGAAAGCTCAGTCAATCGATAGCTTTGTTCTAATCAGCAACGCATTAATTAATCTACAATAAAGACATATAGAAATATTATATCTCTTCTCTCTTTATTTTTATATACACATGCGCACCCTTGCTGGCTTGCGCGTAAGCGAAGAAGTATTAAGAGTACTTTGGCTGGATTTACTGCCGGAGCAGACCCGCCGCTTGCTCCTTTTGATCAGGAACCAGTTGCTGGACGAGCTGGCAGCAGTGGCAGACAAAGCACACGCTATGGGACCCTTGGTGATGTCAGCAGGACACCGATCTCAGCAGCCGACGTCGTCACCGAATCTCTCATTTGCGGCTGGCTCTCCTGATATCGTTGCACAGAAACTTGTGGAGGTGCGCCTTGCCTTAGTACAACTCACTGCAATCACCCGCGAACGCCTACAGTCATGTCACGGCAATGACCATCACAGCAGTGACCATCGTAGTAATAATCCACGAGGCCGATCGCGTTCACGAGGACGTCAGGAGTCACGCCCTTGCGCTGCTACTCTTGGTCCAAGCACACGCCAAAGTATTTGCTGGTACCATTCATTATATCGTGAGGAGGCGAAGAACTGTCCCGGAGAAAACATCTACGTACCCTCACCAAAATTACCGAAAAACTAGAAATGCTGGCCCCTCTACTCGACGGCCAGCGCCAGCAACTCTATGGAGCGCCGTCTATATACTTCGACCGCAGAAGCAACATCTGGTTCCTGGTCGACTCTGGTTCCGTTGTCTCCATTGTGCCGCGGAAGTTTATTCGTCGTCTGCTGCAGCGACAGGCACCGTGACTCCAAGCAGCCAACGTACACCAATTTCAACATACGGCAACTTCGACTTTACACTCAATCTAGGCTTACAACGGCCGTATGCCTGGCGATTTATAGTGTCGAGAGTGGACATAGCGATCCTCGGTACCAATTTCCTGAGTCATCATGGCCTTCTGCTCGACCTTAAGAACCAACGTCTGCTCGACAGCAACACAAGCGTATCCGTAGCGTGTTCAATAGGGTGGTCCAAAAAGAACTTTTTGTTTTATATACGCTCGCTTAGCCTCTAATTGTCTTCAACACATAGGGTCTTAAGGGCTCTCTATACACACTCAGTCGGTAACGCTAGGCTACCATCCCATTTATGCTAAATTTGAAAAATTGAAAATATTATTCGCAAATAATCGAGTTGACGCACATTTCTACTACACTCATTAACATTGTGGTTGAGTTTTATCCAATTCCATACATTATTCAAGGAGAAAAACGAAAACTACGAATAATCATAACCTATTAAATAACATTGATCATGATTATTCGTAGTTTTCGTTTTTCTCCTTGAATAATGCATGGAATTGGATAAAACTCAACCATAATGTTAATGAGTGTAGTAGAAATGTGCGTCAACTCGATTATTTGCGAATAACATTTCCAATTTTTCAGACTAAATATAACTAGGTAGCTGGTGTTACCGACTGAGCATTTCACATCGTGTATAGAGGACCCTTAATGCACGATTTCTAGAGAGTATAGAACATTTTAAAAATTTATCGTCAAAAAACACGAAAAAATGGCAGTAACTGAAATCTTCGCGACTTTTGAATTGTCAATGGTTTAAAAAATATTATGTAGAGAACAAAATATTTAAATAATCTTTAAATAATATTTATAAGACATTAATAGCATTGTCCATGAATTTTTCAATATGGGGCGAATTCCTTGAAGTATCCTAGCACTCTGCCGCATGGTATTTTTTGGCCAAATCACTCAATGTCTAACTCCCAGTAAAAGTATGAAAACATCCCTAAAAAAAATTTCTAATTAATGATTTCTATAGGAAATTTCCTCAGCTTTCCGATGGGGACATTAAATTTCTCTTAATTTTTGATTTTCACCGGGAAAATTGTCATCATACATTCAGAGCTCAATATCTCGAAAAAAGACATTTTCGGTCGCTAGGCGTGATTTCCAGCCTTGCCCTGCTCGCTGTAACTTGTAAATTGTGATTTGTCTGGAAAAATAAATAAACTCATGGTTTCGATAGGAAATTATCTTAACTTTCTCATGGTGCAGTTGGATTTTCCGATAATTTACATTTTCATTAGAATAACTAGAAAGTAGACCTTCAAGTCCGTTTTTTTAATGAAAATGTGAATTATCGGAAAATCCAACTGCACCATGAGAAAGCTGAAAAAATTTCATATCAAAACCATATGTTTATTTATTTTTCCAGACAAATCACAATGTCATACGAGCAGTTACATGTTACAGCGAGTCGCGCAAGGCAGGAAATCAAGCGAAGCGGCCGAGCGCTGACTAAAACTTCCCGTATTTTCCTTAGTTTTCATCAAAAGTACACTCTGAAAACTACCATGCCCGATGTAAAAAGAGCTCATCTTTCGCTTGAATTAATAAAAAAAAACTAAAAAAAATGTCTTTCTTCGAGATATTGAGTTCTGAATATTTGATGAAAATTTTCCCGGTGAAAATGGAAAATTATGGGAAATTTAATGTCACCATCGGAAAGCCGAGGAAATTTTCTATTTGAAATCATTAATTAGTTATTTTTTTTAGGGGTGTTTTGATACTTTTACAGGGAGTTAGAAATTGAGTGATTTGGCCAAAAAATGCCATGCGGTAGAGTGCTAGGATACTTCAGGAAATTTTCCCCATATTGAAAAATTCATGGACAATGTCTTATAAATATTATATTATTAATGTCTTATAAATATTATTTAAAGATTTTATTCTTTAAAGATTATTTAAATATTTTGTTCTTTACATAATATGTTTTAAGCCATTGACAAGTCAAAAGTCGCGAAAACTCTAGTTACTGCCATTTTTTCGTGTTTTTTGACGATAAATTTTTAAAATGTTCTATACTCTCTAGAAATCGGGCATTAAGACCCTATGTGTTGAAAATTTTTTTTCTTACTTTTTCGGTACAAAAGATGAAAATCCACTGTACTGGATCCCTGAAAAGTCAATAAATCGCTCACAGAAATTTTTTCAAAAATACCCGAACAATCGTTGAATTTCATTAAATGGGCTTGTAATGACCCAGTCACAAAGGTCATTGCATCCTTGCGGCCACAGGCTGGTAAAACACCGGGGCGGCAAATCAGCCCAGTGCAATACCAAGTCCCGAGCGGGCATGCTGGTGGGCGGCCACACATGTACACCGCGGCCCGTACTTGTGTGTGTGCGCACACGGATAAAGCAGCGAAAGTTAGTGTGCGACTGCACACGTACGCCGCGACGCGCACTTGTGTTTGTGCGCACACGCATGGAGCAGCTCGCGCTTGTATGGAGAATGACTCGCGCTTGCGGCCACGCATCAAAATCGTGATGATTCTGTCATAAAGCACGCGATTTAATAATCGGTCCGGGCAATAAGTAAATCCCGGATGCCAGCGAAGGTCGTGTCCCGACGTACGCCGATGCTCGGGCAAGCGGACCAAGCAATTAGGAAAACGACCCGAGCATCCACTAGAATATTTGTTTATAATTCCCGCAAAAACTACCGGATGCGAAAATGCGCGGACCGCAAGCTCGGGAGGACACATAAGTCAACGACGATTTCCGCCCGAACAAAGGGGGTGCCGCGGAAACAGCCAGTATATATACCAGGACGTGAGGGAGTCTCGAGGCTCATTGTCATTCACGGCTTCTTCCTTTCACGGTTCAGTCACGGCGCGTTCACTCAAAGCTCGTGCACTCAAAGCTCGTTCATCCGAGGCTCGTTCATTCGCGATTCATCCTCAGCCCAGTCTGTGGCTTGGCTCCGATCAGATCAAATCAGTCAGGACAGTGCGAGTCAGTTATTCGAAAAGTGCGCGAGCTCGCTCAGCTACAACCACCGACGTCGCCCAGCACGCCGACGCCGTGCCGCCCTCGTCGACGCCGCACCAGCCGAGATCACACCGCCACGGACCCGCCCTCCAACTCACGATATCTACCGCTCAGCGAACGACGCCGCCAAAGACAACCCGGTATTCTGTAAGCTCACTCTACTGTATCTAGATTAAGGTTTGCTAAATAAACCCTCTCTTGTGAAATCTCGTATAACTCTTTCTTCATCTCACCTCACCCGAGAGACAACCGCGAGTAGAGTCAAGCCCTTCAGTCAGACGACACATATTATTATTATTGTTATTCTTATTAAAGTAATCGATGGGCTAAAAACCCGTCATTACAGGCTATAAAATTTCGTTGAATGGACTTTCTGTGGACTTCGAATGACTTCATAGGCATTGAACATCGTTGATATACCGTATGTAGTTGTGTAAAAATGCTCATCAAGTCATATGACTATTTCAAATGACTAATTTTAAAGAATGAACAATTTTGAATTTTTTTTCGGCATAATTGTATTAATTCACGTTTTTTATCTTACTTGATCGTTGAGCGACCTTTTAAAATTGATATTTTGGGCTCAAAATTTATGGAGCTTCTTGTTACTACTTGCTGATGATAATTAGAGGCTAAGCGAGCGTATATAAAAAAAAAGTATTTTTTGGACCACCCTAGTGTTTAATCGGCTCGACCGCATAGGTACACTCTATCTCTGCGATAGCTACTTGGACAGTCCCAGACGGCCTCTTCAGTGCGGACTAAAACCAGCTGCTGAGCGACATCTACAAGAACGAGGCTGAACCAGGCGAAATGGCATCTATACCGGATTTGCCAGTATATAACCGGATCATTACATTCGGTGGTACGCCGTACCTTCTATTTAATACTCGTAGCGGAGGAGGATATCCCAAAAAACGCAGTGATGACGGCCTCTTCGAATTCGTTGGTATGCCCCTAGGACTTCGGAACTCCGCTCAATCATTCCAGCACGCCATGAACCATCTCCTAAGGAACCTCGACTACGTGAAGTGCTATCAGGACAACATTTTCGTACTCTCATCAAATCACGAGGAACACTTGCGTCACCTACAGGGAGTGAACAGAGAGCGGGACAGAGAGCGAAGTCACACGTCAATTGGTACAAATGCCAGATCGGCCGAACATACGTCATCTTTGCCGGATATGAAATTAGCCTAGACTGTTTTAAACCACTCGAGCCATAATCGCAAGCCATCCTGGAGTTTCCACGTCCCGACGACTCTACCCAGTTACGTCGATTCATCGGGATGGTGAATTATTATCGGCGATGCTTGCCTCACGCAGCAAAGCTGATGGCACCCCTCTCGGAGCTTCTAAGAGGACTTACGAAAAAGAAAGAGAAACTCAAGTACACGCCTGAAGCCGCGAGCGCATTCACAGCGACTAAAAATGGCATAGCCACAGCTGTGTGCTCTGCTTTCCTGTTTCCTGATCAGCCATTGTCTCTGCACACAACGGTCCGACAAATATTCACCCCGTCAAGCACATTAACTGGAATTCATCTCCCAGTTCGACGAACGGATCGTGTATACACCAGGGCCCGAAAACGTCGTAGCGGATGCACTCTCACGCACCGAGGTTATAATGATGCCAGCAGCCATCACTTCTGCTCGCATCAGCACCAAGCAAGACAAGGACGATCAACTGTTACACCTTCTCCTGAAACCACGCGTGAAGTGTCACAAGCTCACCATCGATGGCCACCTTCTATGGTACGTCGAAGGACAAGGCGACGAGAAGCCCTACCTACCCGTATCGCTCAAACGCAAAGCTTTCGACGCAGCACATCATCTCCCTCACCCCAGTGGCAGAGTCACAGCCAAGCGCGTCGCGCTTCACTACTTCTGGCCATCGCTGCGCAAGGACGTCGTTCACTGGGCCAAACAATGCGTACCGTACCAGCTCTTAAAGGTCCACTGACACAATCGAGCCGAGCTAGGGAATTTCACCACGCCAGACGGGCGATTCGTTCACATCTACTTAGACATTGTGAAGATGCCGATGTCCCAGGGTTGCCAGAACTGTCTCATGATTATCGATACATGCGCTGGCCACAAGCAATCTCACTGGCCGACATCAGTGCACCAAAGGTCACCAAAGTTCTTTTCGCAGGTTGGATTTCTCTGTTCAGCACCCCTTTGACCATCACCACCAACCAGGGAGGTCAATTCGAGTCGAGGCTTCTTGCGGAGCTCGGCAGCATTGTCGGTGCAAAGCACGTTCACACGACCCCGCATCAGCCAAAAGGAAACGGAATGATAGAACGCATGCACTGAATGCTCACGGCGGCGCTTAAATGCTCACCACAGACGCCATGGACACTCGCACTGCCCGCCGTTCTTCTCGGCCTTCGGACGACGTTCAAGGAGGACCTTCAGGCATCTCCATCCAAAATGCTTTTCGGCACTTCGTTGCAAATCCCCGGAGAGTTTATAGCATTCAGACGCATCAACGCAATTCGCAAGCCGCTTGAGCAGCCATACTCGGGACCGCATCCAGCGGTCAGACGCATAGACGAGCGGACCTTCGTCTTCGATGTCCATGGAGTTGAAAAAACCCTCTTGACCGATCAGCTCAAGCCAGCCTTGTTCGATACAGCCGACGAAGCGGCTGCACGGCAAAGTCAACAGGAGCCGAGATCCTCTCAGGTGATAGAGCAGCACTCCCCGTCGCAATCTGTGACAGCCTAAACAAGCAGCGAGCCCTCACCACCAGAAAGAAGAGTGTCGTTTTCATTGCCTGGACACAATGCCCAGTCCATTGGGGATGGAGTAGCTGTGGCACCTTCGGCAAGCCCTCACATTACTCGGCACTCGAGGCGACGAGAGGGGTTACCCCCCACTCTGAGGAGAAGAGAAAACAGAGAAAAAAATCTGTATAAAATATTCTGTCAATTTATAATTAAGCCTCTTGTAATTTTGTTCGCTCACACAGCCTCACGTGTGGCGGATATCTGGCAAGAAGTCTAAGAATCAAGAGCTTCCAAGGAACTTCACAGTAGTGTTGTTGGAGAGTCAGATAAGTAGTTCAAAACTCTCCATAGATATAACTTCATCGTAACCAAAAAGGTTTGCTTTTTGCACTGGTTTAAAAGCTTTCAAAAATGAATCAGTAAACCAGTCATATAATCAGCAGTTTTATGAATACTAGCATCATATTTATTGCAACAATTTTCATCATTTAGAGAAACTTTTTCCTTAAGAATATATTGGCAGGCAGAAAGCAGCGAGAGAAAAACTTCTTTTAGACTTAATTCTAGTGTAAAGTTTTTTTAGTGCAACTACAACTACTTTGACCTAAAACTTCAAAAAAGTTAGTAGCTGTCAGATGAGTATTTTCATAGCCTTCCATCATGATTGCGTTATCATTGAAGAAATTGATACTTTGTGATTAGTCTCAGGTTTCTTTAGAACATCATATTCAAGTTTATGGGGATATTGTTAAATCAGCAGACTTCAATCATACTTCAATCATACTTCAATCAAAAGAATACGTGAATTTGTGTTTATATTCATACAATTTAAAGTAATATGATTTAAAAGTGTCAAAATTTTTCATTTTGGTGCAAGTTGTAGTTGATAGTTTATGAGTAATCTGTGTGTATTAGGCGTGTTAGTGTAAAAAGGGTAATTATTTGTGAAAAATTGATGATTATTATGCATATTTTAGAGTTTATTCATGTAGAGTGTTGTACAAGAACAAAAGAACTGTTTTCTACAATAATTTTTTTGGTGCTTGTTGATATAGTGTTGCATCATCATAGGGTGACACTATCATTTCGAAAATCTGATTAAGTAACTTCAATTGAGTCTCTGAAGTAGGTATAAAAGGTTTAACGACAAGAGGTTATATTTTTCAAACATTTTTCATTTTTATAATAGTTTTAAGTGCATATTCGCGCATACTTTTACTCTGGTTGGTTCACTTTTGTAAATATGAATAGTGAACAAATAGAGCTAAATGTGAATCTTTTTTCGGAATATAGAAAAGTACAAGTCCAAGTATTTCCAACGCGTTTGGACTTGATTTAACAAGTATAGAATCATTAAGTGATGATAAAAGGGGTTTTTTACATGTTGTTAAAACCTTAATATCATTTTTCAAATATACGCGGTGTATGTGTGCTCTCGTTTTCGATGTCACTGTCTCACGACAGTGGGAAATGTTACGTATGTGTGGTGGGGAATTGACTGCGCGAGTTCGGAGCCTGCGAGCTCCACATCACTTACGCTCACTTACTGTCTATATGCTTATGAGCCAGGACTAATTTATCGAATTTTTTTTTTCACGTTTATTTGTTAAATGAATCAGTTTATATATTTAAGTACCAATTTTGTTTCATTACCACTAACCTCGCAACAGGTTATGGGCCCAGCGAAATTTGCACAGTGAAACGTGGTGCAGTGTTCTGATTTATTTTGAGAAATAGTTTTTACTGTGTGTGTATACCTGTCTGAATTTGCGGAGAAAAATATTTACGGTGCGCAGTGTAAGATATGGCCGACAGTACGTCAGATTTGAAAATCATCCCAAAATTCAACGGGCAAAATTTTCAGTTATGGAAATTCCAAATAAAAACTTTACTTGTTGCTCAAGATCTCTTCGATATCATTGAAGGGGTAACTTTGAAGCCCGAGTCTACTTCAACAAACGCTAACGAAGCAAGGCATGGGTAAAATCCAACGCAAAAGCCATGTTCGTCATATCATCTTGAATAGAGTACAGCCAGCTCGACTACTTGATTAACTGTACAACTGTTTCTTAGATGTGGATTAAGCTCTCTAATATTCATGAACAGAAGAGCGCCTCGAACAAGCTTACTTTGACGACGAGGTTTTACGGATATAAAAAAGCACCAGGTGATATCGTTTCTCAACACATTGCGAAGATTAAAAATTTGGCCAGTCAGCTCAAGGACATTGGATAACCGGTGCCGAAAGTCATGATCATGTCAAAAATTAAAAGAACCTTGCCATAGAAGTACAATGCAATTATCTTCGCATGGGACAGCGTACCCGAGACAGACAGACAAGTACTCGATAGACTTTGTGAGAGGCACATGACGAATGACGACGACGTCGACAGAGCCTTCACAGCGACCACGAGCAGCGCAAGAAACATCGAACGTTCGCATCAATCCAATAACCAAGAGAAGGGGAACAGGGTATGCAATCATTTTAAGAAACCGGGACACATAGCAAAATATTGTTTCGTGAGAAAGCGTGCCAATGAAGCAAGAAAAGAGAGCGCGAGCGATAGCTCTCAGCATACCGCGGCGTTTATAGTAGCTGAACGAATCGGAAGCTCCCCAAAGTCGAAGCTCGAGAAATTTCGCGAACGCGCGTCGTAGAAGAAGGTTACGAAGAGACTGAGGTTCATATACTAGGTATTCCACCGTGCACCGTTGTTTTCAATCGTGCACGTCGAGTTTGAATAAATGGTTTTAAACCAGCCGCTTAAATTCTCTCGGAGAGTGGCGTGGGTCCTCTGTAAATGGAAGGCTGTTCATGAGGCGAGTTGCTGCATAGGCAAAGAAGTCATGCACAGCCTGGGTTCGACCCGCTTTGTAAGTTAGCACACGCGGAGGCTGCCTGCGAGCCGCACGATGGTGAAGTCGATTTGCTTGGAACGTGAATAGATTGGCTAGCGGCATGGGTGACTGGCGTGTTATGATGTTGATAGCGAGGTCTATGATGTTGTAGTCACGTCGCTTTTGCGCTGACAATCAACCGAACTCCAAGCGATAGGGGTTGACATGATCTCTGTGTGGTATCGTTCCATACACGAACCTGACGCATGCATTGTGAAGTCGGTGCAGTTGTAGAGATTGACCCTTTTTCATGTCATAGAAGACCGACGATCTGTTATCGAAAGGTGCAAAGATCATTGACTCAATCAAACGTTTTCGAAGGGATCTCGACAGTGCGTGCCTGTAATATCTTAAAGCATATAGTGTGTAGTGCACTGAAGCACAGACACGACTGACTTGAGGCCCCCATGATGAAGATGGAGTGAGCTTTGGACCAAGAATGGTTAACTTGGGCCTTTTCTGCAACTGTGCGTCGCCAACAAACAACGGAGGAGTGAAGTCTTTTAAAGAGCTGACGTAAAACTGGCTGCCACACAGCATGGTGCCTGTCTTGCCTAAATTGAGTTTGATGCCGTTATCCTGAGCCCAGGCTGCAATGGCGGACACGTCGTTACTTGCGTTGTCTAGCAGGGCTTGAGTGCTAACAGGGAGGCCAGAGCAAAAAGTCTGCGTATCATCAGCGTAGATCATGTGTTGGGATGGTGACAGCCGTGCAGAGAGATCGTTTATGTACACTAAGAAGAGCAGTGGTCCCAACACGCTGCTCTGCGGAACCCCTGCCGTTGTAGCCGTAAATGACGAGCATGATCTGTCCTCAGGCGGAGTGCCTGTGAGCGCCCGGTCAGATAGCTGTTGAAACAGCCAAGAGTGGGTGCAGTGCATCCGATGAGCCGCAGTTTCTCGACGAGCAGACAGTGATACCTACAGACTCAGAGAATTGAGTTTCAGTGATTTTTATATTTTTTATCTTCTCTTTGAGTGGTAATGTAGATGGAGTTTACGTTTAGTGAGCAGCTTCTTGTTTTAAAACGCGACGGTCAAGCTATTTAATTAACGCATCTAAGCATTCAATCCTAGACATTAAACGATTCATGAATTCAAACATCTTATCAAGCACTTTCTCATTTGTCATTTCGACGTATTTCAGAATATGTTCAGTTTTGGCTTTAAGAGTTAATGATGGGCATGCTGTTTCTGATTGAGACTTGATCGTGAACTCGTTAGATTATAAATTTTCAAATACTATCAGATGGTAAACAGGACGTCGACACGTAAACAGGACATTTGTGACTTAAGGGGACCGACCTGTGTTAAAAGCTTAAATTCAAAAAATAGCTATATAAATCGAAATAGTGGAAATTTTTTTTTTGTGATCGTAAAATATGTTTATTAGACACCTGATTGACCAAAAAAAAATTCTATCCAAGCTCTGAAATGCCAATTAAGCTTATTTTTTCATAATACTAAATATTATAATAGGATTCACTTGCCACGCGATTCTGACGTGAGCTTTTCATCAATATTGATCTATGGGGTCTCAAAATCTTCAGAAAACTACCCTCATCCACTTAAGCAGAGCAGAATTTGAAAAAAAAAGTTTGTTTTTCTTCCAAGAGCTTTAATATGGCTTCTACTGTTGATAAAATACTAATTTTCTCAAAAATTGGCACATTTTGACGTGTACAT